TTCCACCATTTCGNGAAATGTGCAAAATGAGAATGAACTTCCCGTTAGAACATGGCCAAATGCAGCCGCCATAGGTCTTTTCCACCATTTCGAGAGTGGTGTGGTGAGGCCCTTGGTGAGTGGTGTGGGTGGCAATGCCGTTTGTTCACAATGCGTTTTTCCCTTGGGACGTCGTGTCCTCCAGGTGGCAGCGGCAGTAGCAGCGGTTTCTTTTGGGAGTTTGTTCCCAGGATTTGATTGGAATGTGGAATTTTTCTGTTTTTGTTTTTTTCTTTTAGAGCCTGCATTATTCATGAAACAGACACCCAGGGGCGAGGTCTCCATTGAGAGTAAGGGCCTCGCTCCACTACACAACACTGTAGATGTGTCTGGACTTTATTCCGGGGCCAAATACATTCGGTCCGACCGAACATGTTGAATGTATCGGGTCAAGCATGCCCAGGTACAGTCAGAATGTTATGGAGTGTAGCGAGTCCCTCTGTGCATCGCCACACAAATGTGCAAAATGATAATGAACTTTCCGCTAGAACATGGCCAGATGTACCCGCCACGTTTTTGCCTTTTTCACATTTCGAGAGTCGTGTGGCGAAGACGCCCTTTGTCTCTCTACATCCTGCCAATTGCTACCTTGCCCCCAGTTCTCGGTTCACATTAGAGAAACCACCTCGATCTGGGGAAGGTCAAGTCCCACTAGCAGCGTGGAGTTTCCTCAACGCCCGAATGTGGTCGTTCTTTGTGGAGGTGTGCAGAAATGGCGTTGAGTTTCCTCAACCGCACATATCCACAACCACGTCCAGATTCATGCGTTGAGGGAACTTAACCCTGCTATAGTGGGACTTGGCCCTCGGGTGAGGTTCCGCCGTCGAGATAATCTTGGAGAAGCGGACGTCGAGGGGGCGCACGAAACAACAATATTGGCCATCAGACACCGACATGTGGGGTTGGGTGTGGGTAGGGGAGGTGCAGTGACTGCCCATTAAACACCACCATGAGGGAGCGCTACGGTAGCACCGCCGATTTCCCCCATTGGTAATGCCTGCCCACCCCTTGTCAATGTCATTAGGTCAATGTCATTAGGAACTGGTACAGCTTTGCTCTCGCACCACAGCTGTGGTGCCAACCTACCCCGTGGGCTGGGGAGAGATCCGGGGTGGTTGGTGTTCCCCCGTACTATACATAGACTAGTGAGAGACCGAGATAGATGAGCACTACCAAGTTAGATGAAATAGATGAGAGAAGAATATAGCTTACCTTAAAAAAAAAAAAAAAAGCTGCGTGATGCTCCCAGTCATGTTATTATAGGGCCTCGCTACACTAACGATACATGGAAAATGTCGAGTGCATCTGCTCCCGAAAGCTGGCAAGATAGCATCTGCTAGCATGTATAGTAGCGGATGCATCTTTCGACCATGCGAGTGAAGATGTACTAGACACGTTTCTCGTTTCGTGAGTACTGTGGCGATCCCCTTCGTTCGGCATAGACTGTGGGGCCAAAGCTTTGAGAGCAAAATGAGAGTCTATCAATCAAAAAAAAAAAGAAAAAAAAAAGCGGCACATCGCAACGGAAATTGTTTAAAAAAGAAGCAGCAGAAATTGTCTGAAAAAAAAGCAGCGGAAATAGCGACTTCACCTCTTTATAGGTAAGCTTGTCGCTCATGTCGACATCCGAGATGGGAAAGTCGTCTTTTGTGTAACTGCTGCCCAGAAGCCGACCAACGGAGAAATAATTTCAGAAACTGGTACCCTCGTTGACTGACACTCGCAGCCCTATGGCAAGAAGACCGCGGGGGCGAAGTCCCACCAGTGGCGTTGAGTTTCCTCAAACGCCTGAATCTGGACATGTTTATCGAGACGTGCAATCGAGTAAACTCAACTCCATTTCTATGCATCTCCTCAAACACGTCCAGGTTCAGGCTTTGAAGAAACTCCACACTGCTACAGTAGTGGGGCTTGGGACCCGGATCTTGCAGGTTCGGGTAACTTGAATACATAAACGTTTCGGCCTCACCCAGCCTTCTTCGCCGAATGTTTGATGATTAGGCCAGGGCCTGGGGCTAGGTCCCACTTGCACGAAACAAGAGATACTGACAACAGCCGAAATCTCCTAATTTGCGCAAGTGGGACCTTGCCCCTGCTCAAATAAATAACGCCACTTGAAATCCTCAGCCGCCTTTCGGGCCCCGAGGGGGTTTGGAAAATAGTTTTCAACCCGCAGTAGAAGCGTCTCAGTTGGCCCTCATGGACTGTGTCATTGCCCAACGCACGCAACTTCATGAGACCAGTCAATTTGATGATGATATCACAAAAGACAAGGGGGGGAAATTACACCTCATGGACTGCCTCATTGCCCCATCTGGACCCTTTTGAACCCAAGTGGTGCATAAAAAGGCCCGGTCAACCCGGAGGCTGCGCCTTGGACCTACCTGCTTGGTTGGCTGCCTGCCTGCCTGCCTCTGGTCCAATACATCAATTGAGGGGTAGGAAGACCTTCAGTGCGTGAAGGGTCTCACTGAGTCTCACATACTGTTTTCAGCAGGGTTGGTCTGAGACCATGAGCCTTTTCTTGCCAATGTGCCAATCTGTTGAAGTGGCTCTCTGGTGGCCGGGAGGGAGTTTGACTGATGCTGTCCTCGGGGCACAAAAGGGTATACAGATGGGTGTCAGCAGGAGCTCCGTTTCACTGGACCAGCGGCAAGGTCTCACCTGAGCCACCGGTACGATTCCCAGCCATTTTTCAAAGTCGCGGTGTGCATGCAGCTGCAACTTTCGGGGCTCGGCCTCCGGACTGGCAACGCCATTCAAAAGGTGTGCTAGTTCTTTTCCTTTCGCGTGCAGGGTGTTTCCAGCCCCTGTGCCTCGGAAGTTCAGGTGGTGTTTCTTGTTTTTTTGGGGGGTCCTCAGCCCAGGAGCCAAGCCCCACTAGCAGGAACAAAGTATGGCTATGAGATTTTGGGATTGGATGGTCCTGAACAACTCTGCGATCGACAACGTATAATATGTGGAATCGGGGCACTAGGCATCTTCTCTCAAGTCGGCTGAAGAATGGCCTCCCCGATTTTGATATCGGACAGCCAGAATGACTCGATCGGATTTGATCCAGTTGGAATGAGGACCCAAGAAGGCTGACGTATGGGCATGAGATTTTGACATCGAACAGGTAGAATGACTCGATGCAGCAACTTAGCCCTGGTTACTCGTTTCTGCCTCTTGGATTACCAATCAGCAGTCTGGTTTCTGCCTGTGGTTTGTGAATTCCGAGTCGTTTGTACTGTTGGAGTACGGCTGACTCGGTTGCAGTTGTTATTCTCAAGTGTAGAAGCTACTTCCCTGTTTCGACAACTTGGTCGAGCAGGACTGCGGCACAGGGGGAAGGATGTTGTTGCACTATTTGTTGCACTATTGTGGTGATGCGCAAATGCTCGGCTACATCGATGTGAATTATTTGGCTGAGTACCATTGTTCCCAAATGGGGGCAGAAAAGGAGAAAATAGAGGATAAGGAGGAAGAGAAAGGGAGGAAAGGAGGAAAGGGAAGCTAGAAAGGAAGAGAGATGGTTAGTCGGAGATAGTAGAATCCCGAAGGGAACTTGCATGGAGAAGAATAATATTGTGGTAGCGACGCGAAGCTTAACGGATGTGAAACATCCATGTGGCGTACAACGTGCCTAGATGGCACTCACACTCTGAGAATGACGTGTCGTGTGGCACACAGCAGTCTTCGAACTGGTCACCGTACCAGTCTCATCAGGCTGTCGCCCTTTTCCTGAGAAAAGGAAGAAAAAAAACCACCAAGTCTGAAGCGCACCAGCAGGAACTGGTCTACATACGGAGTATGCTTTACTTGACCTGTGTGCCTCCCTGTAGCTGTGCCAATACTTGCTTTTGGTGTGCAGTGTTTCTTCACCTTTGCATGGTTTGTCGTGTACTATTACTCTACGACCAAGTGCTCGTCACAGCTTGTCAAAATTGCCAGACTGTGCGTGCAGAGCTGTACCTTTGCTTTAGCCTCTTGTTTGTTAATATTGCCAATCTCTGCTCCTGTCACCGTGTTCGTCCTCCTTCACTCCCTCCCTCACTTTCTCCCTCCCTCACTCCCTCCCTCCCCTTCTCCCTCCCTCATTCAATCTCAGGCTGACCAAGTGCTGGTCACAAATTTACAATACGTTGGCCATGCAAGTGCAGAGCTCTCTGAGTGCTAATCAGTGATAGGCCCTGCAAGAGACGACGACCTGGTTGTGGCATAGGAGGCCATCCTTCAAAAAAAAAAGAAAATAAACGTGATTCCGTTATGTTGGGGTTCCTTGACTTTTTCGTCTTCCCTGAATTTGTGGGGTTGTTATCGCTGTATCTAGACTGAAAGCTCCACTAAATACTGCTATTAGTCTTCCCTGAATTTGTGGGGTTGTTATCGTTGTATCTAGACTGAAAGCTCCACTAAATACTGCTATTATAAATAATGACCGTATGTTCTACTTCGGGAATATGGGTAGTTTAAATTTGGGTCGATTAAGTCCAGGCCACCTCGCGGAGGTGTGACTAGCTTCAAGTATGGCCATGGAATTTTGATTTGCATTCATTATCACCAAGCAGTCTGGAATATCGTTTCTTCTAGCCCCATGGGGTTGTTTTCCCACAGGAACGGTGTACGCTTTTTTTTTTTTCCTTTTTTTTTTCTTTTCTTTCAATTGACAATTAGATAAAGGTGCTTTTCCATTTTCGTTGGATTAGCAATCCGATGATGGTACCACCAAAAAAAAAAAAGAAATAAAAAATAAGGGTTTACCTTTTAACATAATAAAAGCATAATGGTACACAAAGCCACTTTGAAGTGTACTTATTTGCGTTGCTAATTTTTGAAATGTGGTGGTAGATTACTAAATGCATATGGACCCAAAATGGAAATAGCATCTTTGTCTAAAGGTTTCAAAGGAACTTCATAGTGCGCGGACTTGGACCCAAATTGTCTAAAGCTAACTGGGGTTTTATTGGGCATGCATGCAGGTAAGTGGATTTGTTGGAGATGATCAACTTGGTGAGGCACTGGCAGGATCTGACTTAGTGATTATCCCTGCGGGAGTGCCACGGAAGCCGGGAATGACCCGTGATGACTTGTTCAAGATTAATGCTGGAATAGTGAAGGGGTTGTGTGAAGCCATTGCTAAGCATTGCCCACAGGTAAGAAGGCAATCTGATGCAAACTCTCTCTCTCTCTCTCTCTCTCTCTCTCTCTCTCTCTCTCTCTCTCTGTGTGTGTGTGTGTGTGTGTGTGTGTGACACACACGCTAAGGTCGGAGGAGTCAAGGACTGCTGTGTGCGAGACAACACGTCATTTTCAGAGTGTGAGTGCCATCTAGGCATGTTGTTATTGATGATTAACGAACGGGTCTTTTCCTTATGCTTCTACCTGCTTGTGCAGAAGTAGATATGCAAGTTCCTAAAGCTTGTCCAGAAGTTGGGAGACGATACATGGGATGGATGTATTGAACAACTCGTAGCACTTCCTTGCACTAATGTGCTGTAATGTTTCACATTACTTTTTTCTGATATCGGCCCCTGTTGGTTTCCGTCTCCCTTGTCAAACGGTTTAACAGGCTTTGGTGAATGTAATCAGCAACCCGGTGAACTCGACGGTGCCGATTGCTGCAGGAGTTTTCAAAAAGGCTGGAACATACGATCCCAGGAGACTTTTTGGCGTCACCACTCTCGACGTAGTAAGGGCAAGGACATTCCTCAGTGAGAAAAAAGGACTTAACCCAGCAGGTATTTTTACTATTTTTCATCCATTTTCACAGTTTTTTGTAACTTGAAGTTTTGAAGCCATTACACTGTTTTCACCTCCTTCGGAATCCACCATCATGATGGCTCTTTGGGTGCAAATGTTGTGATTTTTTCAATTTCCAATCCATCAATGGGATGTCCATTTGCATCTTACGCCTTTTGCTGCCGTGCCTTCGAGAAGGTACAAAGGTGCAAATGGAGCTGAAAGTGAGTTTCAATGGCGGCGCCACGCTCAAATAACGCATATGGTTCTGGGGAATGGGCTCAATGTCTGATAGCTGTTGCCAGGTCTTGAGGGTAGGTGTTCCGTGAGGACCCTCTTCTGTCCTACCACCAGGAATCAGGATTCAAGAGATCTTTCTGCCGCCTCTCACGTCCCCTTACCCTGTCTTTTGTTGATTAGCACATCGTGCTACAGATCTTCATGTTACGGATGTTGGTTTTTGTTTTGTTGTTTAAAAAAAAAAAAAAAAAAAAGAAGTCAAAAGAAAATTACGTGTTCATGGAAGGTCACACATCGTTACACCGGTCTTTTGGAATTTGGGTACGGGGACTGGGACTGGGACCTAGGCACAGAAATGTGTGTAAAACTTTCGTCATGGCTTTCTTTTCTTTTCTTTTTAACCGACATTGAATGAGCATAACCTGCAGAAAACCAACATATGTCTGAGTTTCAGTAGTAGCTTAAAAAGCACCACAAATTCTGCAGAAAACCAACATATGTCTGAAAAAATGGTTGCTCAGGGAATCATGTCAATCGTGTGTTTGGAAATGAACAAAAGGGAGTCTGTGTGTTTTGAAACGAACAAAGGGAAGTCTATTTATCTTTCGATGGACGTGAACAAAGGTGCTAAATTAAATGTGCTCGAGTCTTTCTTCCCCTGGAATGTGTATAAAGTCGGGTATTTGTTGTCTGAATCTAAAAAATTCAACGTAAGAATGAACTCTGGGCTGCTTTCCGTATGATGCTTATGGCGTAAGACTTGTAGAAGACAGTTTGTTTGTGATGTGAAATGTGTCTGGTTGACTCTTATTCAGTCCGTAGCGCTCTCTGACAAGATAATGCTGTAAGCATGCTTTCCTTCCCCCCAAGTTGCTGCAACTTGCTTGTGCAAAAATCACGATGGTAAACTCAGGAGGGAGTCTTGAACTTGTGTTGACGTACGTCATGTGAACAGGGGTGGATGTGCCCGTCGTAGGGGGGCATGCGGGAGCCACAATTCTGCCATTGTTCTCGCAGGTGAGCGATGCGGTCCTGAGTCCTCTTTGCCACGTGTCCGGGTCTCTGTTGTTTTAACTTGTTTATCGCCTTTTAAACTCCTCGTTTCGGTCGTTTTTTTATGATGAGATAGGTGTTATGTCTCCTTTGCGTGGAAGTTTAGGCAGTTTTAGTGGTGACCATGGTGCTTAGTTGTTGGCCATGTTGCTCTCCCATAGAGATTGTACTACGGTAGAGTGGCTACGTCACTAGCTGCGGTACATGCAGAGTCGCCGTGTGATCAATTTGAATTTTGAATTGAAGGTTGTGACGGTGGATACTCACCACGCCACGTTGCTCTCGCTTACCCCACAACAAGCGTGAACGCTCCCTGCCCTTGTGGGTTGGCCGTTCTTTGTAGTATGGTCAGTTGCTACCGGTCCCGGCAGTTATGCGGAACTTATGCCACAGGAATGGTTGAGTGACTGTTCTCAATTCGCAGAGTGCTTGGCACTTGTATTGCCCAACCTATGCTCACTGCGCCTAGCCACATTGCTGTCGACACCAAAAAAGAAAGAATGAATGCATCTTCCCGAGAAAGTGGTAAGATGGTTTCGTTGATATTGACTGTTCTCAATTTGCAGAGGGCTTGGGACTTGTATTGCCCAACCTACGCTCACCGGTCCTCGCCACATTGCCGTCGACACCAAAAAGAAAGAATGAATGCATCTTCCCCAAGTTGTAAGATGCATTCGTTGCTATTCATGCATTGCTTGCTATTCACAGTAACGGATGCATCTTGCCATTCGGTGGGAAGATGCACTAAGTCTTGCACCTTTTTCGTTTCCACTGTGGTGTCGCGAGGCATATTACCATGTTGTTATGTCATGCCCGTTCCTCACTCTGTGTATCGACATTCCTTACTCTGTCGTTCCTTACTCTGTATATTGATGATTGCAGGCTGTGCCAAAAGTCGACCTGACTCAAGCTGAGGTGGAGGAGCTGACCAAGCGCACGCAGGAAGGGGGCACAGAGGTAGTACAAGCGAAGGCCGGGAAAGGATCAGCAACTCTCTCTATGGCGTAAGTATCGAAATCCGTAAGCTCTTCTTATTTTCAGGGCACCATCAGTCTCCATGTTCCGGTCTGTTTTGGAGCTTGACTCATGAGTTACTTGGCCTCGCAGGTGGTGGATTACCAATTTACTGAGCAGTGACTACTATATTCAGAATAGTCGTAAATGGAATGTCTAGTCATAGCGAGTAGTACTGAGAACTATATTAAGGGCGGTTGAGTTGTCAGGTATACTCACGGCGAGGGAGCGTGAGTTCGCGCGATCTGAAGATGTGCTCCACGAGGTTCTGACGCTCCGCCTTCGTCAGGAGGTTCTGGTCTCACCGAACTTGAGAGAGATTGGGTGGTTCAACGTGAAAATATTCAGGCATGAATGAATATTTTCAGGCATATGAAGCTGTGAAGCAGCTCTCGCACCTGCAGGAAATGAACATGGTGTGTTGGTCCATCGCTGGGAAACTTCGCAGAAAGATGACCAACGGACTCTCCATCTTCCCCATGAGTGCAAGGTTGGTGGTGTTATGTCACGAAAGTTTTCTGGTCTCTCACCAAGTCTGAGGAAGAGGGGTAGGTTCAACGTGAAAATATGTTGTATGTACAGTTGTTAAGCAGGGCACACAAACCCAAGGAAATAGGAGCGGTGTGTTTTTTTATTTTTATGGTCGTACATTCATTTCGAATCAACAAAAGACGAGGACGGGGATCTCACAATTCAACCCGGAGTTATCCCGACAGCTTCAGTCGGTGCTGTCGGTTTAGCTTGTGCGTTGACATTTTTCCAGAAAGTACTTCTCATCTGACCTGCATTAACTCACTACGTCCATCCTCCTACTCGCCTACTCTCCAACCTCCTAGGAGAGGTGTGTTCTGCCATCCCTGGGAAATTAGCAGAAATGGTAAATTAATAATTATTAAAATTAGTAAAAATTTTACTAAAATGTTAAATATAATGTGTTGTGCGATCTCTAGTACCAGGAAACCGGCAGAAGGGTGGGAAGCGGAAAAAGGAAACGCTGCATGTGGGTGAGCTCGTGTTCAAAGTGTTTGCGACGCCACTTGCCCTTTCTGCTCTTCTAGATAGAGTATCTGGATATTCTCTGAAAGCGCTGATATCCTATGAAATCGGTCCAGGAACGGCCGTCCGTTTAAAGTTTAAACCACTAAGGCGCGGCTGAACTTTGCTTGGGTGCTGATATGGCGAGTTATCGTTTTGTGCTTATCTTCTGTCCGCAGGTATGCGGGAGCACTGTTTGCTGATGCTTGCCTACAGGGCCTTAGTGGGAAGAAGGATGTGATCCAGTGTGCATATGTCGCTTCCCAGATCACAGATCTTCCTTTCTTTGCATCAAAGGTGAGCTGCCGAAAAGTCGTCCGATTCCTAATGCAGATCGAATTTCCAAGGATGTGTACTCGTTAGCTCAAATTGAGAGAGCGAACTGCTGTCTTACCCCAAACTCGACGCACCCTGATCATTGGTGAATATTGAATTACCACGAGTAGCCCCTTGGATGTGTTGTGGTCTTGCACGTTGAGCTTTACTTATGAGGCAGTCGGGAGTGTAAGTTAGTCATCATGCTGGCGTATACATGAGCATACTACGAGGTTACTGCCTGGGGAGAGATGACATGAGATGTTGATCACCCCCTGCCTCTCCCCCAACCCTCCGCTCCCCCCGCACCCCACTAGCATATGCATGTATTGTAAAGCATTATATGGCAAGGTGGCAAGGTGAGATGACATGAGAAGATGTCGTTTTGGTGCCCCCCAGCGACCCTTCCCCCAACTGCTCTGTTCAGTCTCTCGTGCTTTTTTTAATGTGGATTGGGGCATACAACCCAAGGAGAAATGGCGTGAGGAGCTGACGTGAGCAGCTGGAGTGGCAAGGGAAAGAGAGGAGGGGGGGACCAGGGACCTTACACCCCTACCTCCACACGAACTGTTCAGTATCATAATGCTGTTATGTTTTCTCCCTGCCTAATATCTATCTGATTGTTGGGTACAGTTCCAGTTGACGAATCCACGAGGCACAATCATGATTGTACGAGCTTTTGCGTTTTCTGTTAATGTGAAATATCTCGTAATGGCATCTGAATGTTAGCAAGGGGTTCATGCATGTCGACAAGAGCAGCAGACGACATGAAAAGATTCTGTTGCGGTGAGCAAGGGAAGCGACAGGGGGCCTATGCATTGCCCTACTCCCCACCGTGGACAGTCCGTCGGTCAGGAAAGTTGGGAATTGAAAACATTTGAAGGTTGAAGTTTGGACCCTCCTCGTAGGTAGAGATGGGGGAATGACATGCTTAAATTGAGGAATTTGAGATAGAAATGAATCCTGTGTTGTATTGTTCTCACCGTGGACAGTCTTCTCGATGCGTCTTTGTTTTCTGAATGAGCTTAATGCTCTTCTTATCGTGTATTTTTACTATTTATACAAGCAGAGTTCTCACATGAGGATTTCATTCCTCTTTGCAGGTGCGGCTTGGCAAAGGTGGATTAGAAGAGGTCTATGATCTTGGCCCTCTTTCAGACTATGAGCAGAAACTCCTAGCTGAAATGAAAGAACAGCTCAAGTGCAACATCGACAAGGGCATCAAGTTCGGCCAGGAGAATTGAGACTTGAAAAACAAATGCATGGTGTCGGAAGAACTGCATTTGTTCACACATCACTAGCAGAGAGACAGTGAGCGAGTCTCTCTCGTGTGCCAATTCTCACACATATCCCTACCCTGTACGCAGTGATCTCTCTCTCTCTCTCTCTCTCTCTCTCTCTCTCTCTCTCTCTCTCTCTCTCTCTCTCTCTCTCTCTCTCTCTTACCAGTTCCTGCTCTTGCGCTCTTTGGCGACACAATTAGCACATGCGCTCTTTGGCGACACAATTAGCACAGGCAGGAAGAAATGACACTGTACATTGTGGCAGGCGTGAAGAAAGATTGTGGAATCCTTCATCGAACTACGGATGGTGTGAAGGCCATTTGTTCGAGGTGTTTGAGGAGCTTCAGACGTCGATGGGATGATATCTGAGTCGATCATATGGCAGGGTGATGAATCACCTGCATTCACGGCTTCACACACGTTAGGATAAAAATACTGGCAGCAGAATACTTCAAGGCACCATCTTCCATCGTATACCTTCATTATTCTTTGTGGAGCTGAAGCCAGCCGGGACAGGTCAACGCACCCTCTTGCTTTTTTTTTTCCCATCATTTTTTGGTATGGCTTAGTAAAGGATTGTTCCTCTCAGCAAGATTTTCTGGCTTACGATTTTGTCCATTTTTTCCGATTTTGTCCATTTTCATTTAGCTGGCCTTTCTGAGACGGGCGTCGACCGAATCCTTCAATCCTTTCATTGTTAGGCTGCCGTGGTCAGGAGTCCATCGGCGGAGTCCGTTAATCAATCCAAAGTCCTCTGGCCTCGGTGGAAATACCTTCCGAATTGAGGTTCGAAGGCCCTGCTCACAAGAATGGGTGTTGAGGTAGGCGACTCTTGTGTTGAGGTTGGCGAGTTTTCTAATTCCGGAAATGCCGGAAATTGCTGATGGGGAAGTCTGGCGTTTATCGATTAATAGATGGCAATCTCCCGAAAGGCACTGTGCATTACTTCACAGGTGTGATCTTGGTAGAATGAGCTGTCGACTGCAGAATTTGAAAAGTCTCATCTCAGAGAGACTCAGAGAGAAAAATATTCGCTATGCTGCTTCACATTTTGCAAAACGGGGAACGATCGGATAGCGTCACTTACATGACGATACTGGGAATGCTCCAGTAAATAGCGCACAATGCCGCACATTATTTCTTGTGAGCGTGCACGAGCAAGTGCAACTTATTAATTTTCGGCTTGTACAAGCCATTTCATGTCTTTTTCCAGTCTCCTCATGATTGGAGAGAGAATAATTCTCTATGCTCTTATTCACGGTTTGCAAATGGGAAATGGTTGTGTCGTTGTTAATTTCACATGGTGATACTGTCAAAGGTGAAGAGACGAAAGTAAAAGAAGTGCACTTCAGTCAGTGTCAACCTTATTTGCTCATTCGCCTTGGCCGGCCGATATGTGTAAAGAAAATCAACGTCTTTTGCCTCATGGTGACATCAAACAAAAAAAAAAAAAAAAGAAACAATTAAAATATTTAATACCTTGTTTTATTTTTGGCCGTTGGTGAGTGGTCCAGAGCCACTCTGATAGATAGCCTGGTAGGTGTCAACTCGTGCCAAGCCATTTGATGCCTTTTTTGTTGTTCCCCAGTTAGTAGATGCTGTCAGGGTGGAGAGCTGCCTTCTATAATATATCTGCTATTAATAGTCTCTTAAGCTAGGCTACCAGCCGGGCCGCCCGGGTCCTGGGTGGCCAGCCCGTGCAAGGACCAGGGAAGGTCCTAGCAAAAAAAATCCAAAAAATCCGAAAAAAACTATGTTATGCAGAAAAATAAACTGAACAACTTTTGCCACAGGGTCATATCAAAATTCTTCACCAAATTTAGAATAAACAACAAGATTTAAGATTTTTTTTTTTTTTTTTTTTTTTTTTTTTTTTGGCCGGGCATGTGACCCCGGGCCACTCTGGTAGCCTACCTCTTAAGGCTAATATTATATTCTTTGTATTGTAAAAGAATGTTTGTTCACCGCTGATGCGCTTCTGACTGATCCGTTTATTACAATTAGTAGTGAATGCATTCTACCACTTTGTATGGGTAGCAGCACTGGCTATTTGTTTTGTAATTCTTTTGGCTCCGTGTCCCGTCTGGGGAGGAAGGTTGATTGTCATGGATGTGTTGTTTATGGATGAGAAGCTGCACTTCGCTCCACGTGCCGTCTCAGGAGAAGGATGTGTTGTTTACAGATCTGTTTTTCCAATTTTCGTAGATTTTCTTTGTGACAATGGGCCTCGCTTCACTACTGCTAAGAGTGCAAATTGATATCGTCTTTTCCTCTCAAACATGGAAAGAAACGCCAGCATTTTGTTTTGTCATGTGAATTGGAAACAGACGCTGGAAATTTCTCTAGTTCTGAAAACTTGTGGGTCCCTCCCTATTCAGGAGCATTGTGGGCAGTGTTATGAATGGTTGTTGAAAGAGCCAGGCCATAAATACTCTTTAGGTTCTCTACTATCACAACGGGACTGCAGATAGTGTTATGAATGGTTCCAGGACTGCAGATAGTGTTATGAATGTTATGAATGGTTGTTGAAAGAGCCAGGCCATAAATACTCTTTATGTTCTCTACTATCACAACGGGACTTCGATTCTCACTTCAACTGACTTAATACTTAATTCCTAATGGAATAGCAGCCCGTGCTACATTCTCAGCAGTAGCTAGAGCAGCATAATTGGTTGAACAATGAGATCCTTTAAATCGTACCATCAAGGACACACATAATGTGACCTGCACCACATGGTCCGGTTCACATGATGCAACCCAGCCCAGCCCACATACACCCACACTGCACCAGCTCGTTGGCACGGCATCACCCATCTTCCCGGATTTGCACCGTCGAGGGCCATACAGAATACTCACGTGCCTGTTACTGGGAATGTCATGATGTAGAAGAACAATGCTGCTTCATTTGTACACGTGGGTATGCAAGTGCAATAAGGAGTCTCCTTTCGCTACTCACTGCTAGAATTGCCGTGTCGTGCATGTCAACAGTCGTGGAGTGAGCCCTAAGAGCGTGGCTTGGGCATCATCAGGATTGCCGAATCCGCTTTCCATTGCCTCTGGGCCCTTGGATTAACTGGAACCGCTTTCCCATTCCTGGGCCCTTTGAATTGCTGGAACTGTTTCCCGTTCCCTCTGAGCCCTCAGAATTGCTGGCACCACTCCCCATTCTGGAGAATAGCTCCACGATTCCACAATCAACTTCATGGATAGGACGGTCTCTTGACAGTTCCCCTCTTTTTGCCACATAGCACTGCAGAATGCATGAAACTTATGAACGCAAGACAAAAAAAGACAAATGCCTGAGGGGACGAGCAGCATTCCTCCCATCTCAACCTCAGGGCCACTCATCAAATTCTGAGGAGAAATCAAAAGCGCAGCTGAAATGAATTATATAAATTGTATCCGAAAATGAATTATATAAATTGCATCCTATATAAACTACTAAAAGAAATAGCGGATGCAGAAGCGCAGCTGAAATGAATTATATAAATTGTATCCGAAAATGAATTATGTAAATTGCATCCTATAAACTACTAAAAGAAATAGCGGATGTGAGAATATAGTTTTATACAGTTCATAGAACAACTCTTCGGCTGAGCAGACACACATAGCACAGGGGGACGACAGATTCATTCGCTTTCTTCAGTATTGTATCCTATTTCTTTTGTGCGTGTTTTCTTTTTTGTTGTTGTGATAGGCTCTCACCCCTCTTCGCCTTGCACGTGTTGTTTCTCCTTGCCTTAGTCCACCACTCAGTGGATGCACAAAAGACAAAAAATACGGTGGTGTATCTTTCCATGTTCTAGCAGAAGATTCGTTCTCATTTTGCAAAAGTATTCCGGTGGTGTATCTTTCCATGTTCTAGCAGAAGATTCGTTCTCATTTTGCAAAAGTGTTCTCGAATATTCAAATCTTGATACAATAATTCTCCATAATAATAAATCGAGTCAAGAGTTTAACTGATAGACCGTAGTAAAACGTTCTGTTCAGCCGTAACAAGTGCTCTCTGAACAGTGCAAGATGGTCGCCCATCGGCGTGCTTGACACAGTGGAATTTGCTTACGCTGTGCTTAGAAAAACAAAAGAGTTTGTTATTATTAATGGACAAAAGATTGGACATTCTATCTATCGCTAGCGGTATGCTTGGACGCTGGTTGACCTGATAAAGAAAGCGACCTCTGTGCAGCCCATCTCTGTTCGGCCTCTCTCTCTCTCTCTCTCTCTCTCTCTCTCTCTCTCTCTCTCTCTCTCTCTCTCTCTCTCTCTCTCTNCTCTCTCTCTCTCTCTCTCTCTCTCTCTCTCTCTCTCTCTCTCTCTTCCCACACTGTCAGGCTGCTCAGTTGATGCAGACATGAAACTATTGAATTAAAGACGGGAGTTTGAATTCAGTGGTTACCACAATAAAATAGTACTGATTTACAAGGGATCCGACGGCGTGGTGATGCCTTGGCCGACGGCCCCCCGAATGCTGAGCGTCCCTCACGTTCGAAAACAAACACCACCCCCCCCCCCCCCCCCCCAAGAAAAAAAAAGGGAAAGAAAACACCCTCAATGTCACCCCAGCCAGATAATGGTCGTGCCTGGGGTGGGGCTGGCGCTGGGCCGCAGCTTCACCGCGGTTGGTTCACTTGTATACATAAAATGAACATGGCACAAAACTTGACACAACTCTGCTGTTGACGTCAAGTTACAAGGGCTTATGTAACTCTCAAGAGGACAGGCAACTCCTAAAGACAACGGTTTTTTAGCGAAAACAATCAAGCAGCTAAGCTGGTTGACTGAGAAGGGGTGATAGAATGATACTAAAACATTTAGCACTGGGCTATAATTGTCCAAGGACAACACGACCTGGCCTGCCCTATTTCATACAATTTTTTTTTACACCTTCTACACAAGAAAAGCAGAGTGAGCTCCAGCAAAGTATAGCCAGATAAGAGTAGTTCTGTTCACCTCAGATACCATTTGGCTGAGCTGTTCCCACCCGTGATTTGCTGAGCAAGCAAGTAGACCGGAAGTGTGCGGCAATGGTGCGTGAGTGGGGTATCGAACCTCACTGCACTATTTAGTTTTTACCAAATGTGCAAAAAAATGTGCCATGCGCAGTTACACAGCCGTAATTTTGTCTTTTGTGCATGTCAGAGTAGTGGAGCGAGGACCATTCTCCCCCAGCAGTCAACTCTTCATGCGCGGGTTAATGACTGGACTGGCCGGCTGCTTTTCGTGCTGATCATGGCTTTCCTCTCTCTTTGTCTCCAGCTCAATCAGTTCGGCGAAACAACGTTTGCTCCCCAATTTTGCTCCCTTCCGAAAACATTCTTTTGCCTTGTGTTCTCTGCCACGGTGCAGCTCGACATGGGCGAGGCCTCTCCATAAACACGAGTCTCGAGGGTTCTTCGTGAGCGCCTTTGTCAGAACTCGCCATGCAACATTGTAGTTGCCATTGTCCTGAATGCACAGTGTCATGTCCTCTCACTCACATGCCCACACCACACACACACACACACACACACACACACACACACACACACACACACACACACACACACACACACAAAGGAATAGACGCAACCCACACACACAACACATTAGCATGGTTATCCCACCAATTTGGGAAACTTTGACTGTTGTAAAAATTGCTACTGTGACTATTGTCATAAAAGTTAAAACTTAAAACTAATTACCAAGCTGAGAGCCTAAAAGACTACAATGGAAAAAGACACAATGGAAAAGGACTACAGTGGAATTTGCTTCAGGGTTTACAGTTGTGTGTTGAAAAAGAAAGGGGCAGAAGATTTTTATGCTGAGCTACCTGTTACGCAGTCGACAAAGCTCCGCAAAAGATATGGAGGCCCCCTGAATTTCCAGACAATTTGTGCGACCATTTGTAAAGGCCATTTATAAATTATAAACCAAGATTGCCACCGTTTCACAGAGTGAACATCATTTTCCCTAACTGCCAAGAGAAAACGAAAGGGCAGAAAAAAGCTTATAAAACTGCAAGGCAAAGTCGAAGACGCCGGCAAATATGCAATCACGGGATCGGCCTCCCTCGATAATGATAATGAGAAGGTTGACAGAGCCACCGTAGTAGGGGAACCGAAGGGCGGCAGTCACAAATCGATGGCAGAGGGCGCGGTCTCTCCACAACCGGATTTCTGGAAGTGCCGGCCGAAGCTTGAGACTCTGCTGAGAGAACGTTATGCTCATGGCAAATTTTGCAACATTATCGAGGTTGTTTCGGAGGCTGGATGATAGGCCTCGGGAGGTGGGTGTTCTTGCACTCCACCAGTGGTGAAATCAGATGGCTTGTGACACCTTTCTTGCGCATTTCACCAACACTCAAATTTTGGAGTTTTTTTAGAAATTTCCTTCAGTGCTTGTGGTGCTCGTAGACAGCACTAGCACCTGGGGAGGGCTCCATCTATTGGTGGGGAGCAGCACCTGCTGGAAACTGGGTCCAGCGTCTTTTACATAGACAGAGTTCAAATCAGAACAAATCACATCAGGAAAAAAGTGTGGGATATTCCTGCCAGCACTGATTACCCTGGGGTCCAGGGGATTGCCTGAGGAGGAGGTTGGGCGGGGGGGAAACCTCTTCTCCCTGAACTTGGCGCCAGATATTTGCTATCTCACCCTGGTTCCTGCCACTCCCTGCCTTTGAAGTACCCATTCTGTTGACGTTGCTGGCCTTTTTTGTTTTTTACATATGGAGATGGAGTCTCGTTGGTGGAAACCTGGTCCAGCGTCCCATCCTGTTCTGTCCTTTGGCACAAAAGGCGTGACTTCTGCTCCCCAGCCAATCCACACCCACAGCTTTTCCTAATCCGGCAGATGCCAGCGTCCCATCCTGTTCTGTCCTTTGGCACAAAAGGCGTGACTTCTGTTCCTCAGTCAATCCACACCCACAGCTTTTCCTAATTCGGCAGATGCCACAACCAACATTCATTTGACAACAATAAGCCATCCTCTCTTGCCCCTGCAGTATGGAGTAATATGGAGCAATATGGGTTGTCATCTCGCTGTGTTGCTTGAGGAGGTATGCTGCCGGTCCTCTGGGTACCCGTCCTCTCCATGTCTGCCCTGTATCGCCCGTTCAGTCTGCTCCGTACCATTGCACATCCACCATCGCCACTTGGTGGGGTGGGAAGGGGTCGGGAAATTCTGTGGCAGGTCACAGTGCGATCGCCTGACCCACAGTAGTCCAGTCTCTGAAACAGATACGGTAGTCACTCCTGAATTCCTCCTGGTTGCCTTCCTGGGCAGGCTTGCCCTCCCATCTAACAGATGTGATCCAACCCCCATTCTCACTGCCCAACCAGTCTCCAGAAAATTGGTGACCGAATGATATTGGTCGAGTTGGATTTTAATTTTTTGCCAGTCAACCATGAGTTCTTGTTGAATGTATTGCCTTGTCATATCTGTGGCCTCTTCCCCAGTTATGCGGACCCCCTCCATAGCATGTATACAACGTTTCCTCCAGAGGGTCCACATGACCGCTCTCCTTCCTAACTTGAACATGTTGTTTTCAAAGGTATTGTCAGCGGGGGAGGACCATGCCTCGCATAATATGGCCCCCCAATCCCATGGCCAACGGGATTCAGTACCCAACTGGGTCCAGATCCTATCCCACCACCGCCATGTAAGAATAGCCCCTGGGCACTCAATGAATATGTGCTCTATGGTTTCAGAGATCCTGCGGGGGGGAAAGGCAGTGTGGCATGACTTGCACCATGGTAATGCCCGCCCTGTTTGTTCCAGGTATGTGTGATCTATCAACCAGTCATTGGTGTGCAGGCAGCGGTGTTCTATCTGTGGTTGAAGAGAGGCCATCTTCGCAGGCCTAGACCTTGTGGCGGTGAACCATCGGATGCCCCAGTTCCTACATTCAAGTGTGACCTCCATCAGCCCTTCACTATATCTTTTATGTTCACCTTTGGTCGTAGCAGACGATATGTGGCCTTCACTGAGAGAGTGTGTAGTTTTAGATTCGTCCCTGACCTGGGTTTTCGCGTGGGAACCCACTGCCATTCGTCGGGGTCAAAGGGTAGCTCCAACACGGGGGTGTTTGGCTGATATGCAATCCAAACATCCTTATCCCGCAGCACTCGTATCCTGTGTAGGTCTGCTGTTCTCCACCATCTGATCACATCTGAGCGGTACCGGGTGAGTTTATTTTCCTTGTCTAGGTGGAAAAGGTTTACCAACGTTTGGTCTGTTCTTACCTCCACCACATTGCCTACACTTTCCGGATCCCCCGGGGCAGCTACCCAGTCCCCTTCTATTAGTCGTGGCCCTCTTCACAGGATGCGCACCCAGTCAAGGGGAACTGCAGAGGTCAACAACTCGATGTGCTCCTCAATCTTGTGGCAGTGCTTTAATATGGTTCTCAGTTGTCGCCCCGTTTTCCACTCACCCACTTCTGTGTCCCATATGTCTTTTATTCGGGTTATGCCTTTTTTGACCCAACTGTTCCACGGGGTGTCCGAGCTGCAATACACCCTACAGTGCCGGTCTGTTATCCTCCTGTTCCCAAAAAGAGGCTGACGCATCACCTCCTCCCTCCTGGTTGGTGGGGGATGGTCAGGCAGCGGGAGTTGGCGCCAGGCCCTGATGACTCGGGTCCAGAAGTCATCTCTGACCAGGTCCGAACGGGCTTTCCGAAACGTCAGCAGAGGAAGTTCCAATGTTCCCAAAAGACTTGAAAAGAGACAAAATATGGCACACAGCAACCTTGAACCACACCAAAAACAGGCAAAGATTTGCAAGAAAACGGAAAAAAAAAAGGCAGCAACATAAAATCTGACCCCCAGACTCTAATTTCAGTTGTGGACCCATCAACCCAAGAGCCGAAAAGTGGGGGTCCCCGTACCCACTTAGGAGAACACTTAGGAACATCCATGTCTTTTAAGGGTGAAAAGAAACAAAGTTAGTTTAACAAAAAGTAGAGAGAGGAAGGGGAGTAGATGTCGGAGCGGTGTAGATGTCGGAGGCTTGAAGAGAGGGGGGGGGAAGAATCCATAGGTGCTGCTCTCCTGAAAGACAAGCAACAAGGTAACTTTAGCGAGGATAAGGTGGGGTGAGGCAGGGTCTCTGAGGAGGAGATTCGTCACCTGTTCAAGCAGTGCCAGGGAATGGCTAAGATGTTTGTTGCCTGGGTTGGCAGCAAGCCCTTCCATAAGCACCTTCCTTGCTGCCTTGTCATTACCTGCACCAGGGTATTGTCAAGACAAAGCACAGAGTAGTAGTAGTGGTAGTAGTAGTAGTAGTAGTAGTAGTAGTAGGAGGAGGAGGAGGAGGAGGAAAACTCAAATGAGAATCAATTGATAAAACGCCTCTTCTCCCTTCTATCTTACCACAGCAATCACAGTCCTGACCCTCTAGTGCAGATGAAAGCAATGGCTCTCTTACAAACACCTTGCCAATATACGAAGTCCCTTCCCACACAATATATATCACGCGATTGCAATGACCCGCCAAAACACAGACTGAGAACACTGCTGATTTGCGAGTTTGTGCTGTTGGAATGAATGTCTTGCTGAGATTTCCCGCGTTCTACTGACTTTTCTAAGTCTGTGTGTGTGTGTGTGTGTGTGTGTGTGTGTGTGTGTGTGTGTGTGTGTGTGTGTGCGTGCTTGCTGGTTCGCATGCCTGTCTGAGTGCTTGTCGATCTGAGTGTGTGTGTGGCCCGCCAGGGCACTTCTTTGTTTGGAAGGCCCACGAGGGCCGATACTTACCTGTGGCTGTGACTCTGAGGGTTGCAGCGGGGAAAGCACTCAAGTAGCGGGAAGTAGGGCCTGCGACACTTGGGGCAGCGGGGGAAAACACTCAAGTAGCAGGTTGGCCGGTACCACTCAAGTGGTGGTGGATGAGTCGGGAACTGCAGGCCGAGCAGAAGAAGACAAAAAGTTGGTATTTTTAGAGGCCCGGTAGCTGGTAGGCTAGGTCTAGGCGGGTACCAGGCAAGGCTCTGATATCGTCCGCACAGGCCCTAGACTCAGGTTACTTTGCCTGGTACCCGCCTAGAGTCTGCGGCCTGTGCGGACGATATCAGAGCCTGCAATGATGTTTCGCTCCGAAAGGGAGGAGGTACCGGTTGCTTGGAGGCCCCGCTGCCTGGAAGTCCCCGCCCAAGAGGCAGGTAGGCCGCTATATCTCCAGGAGGAGTGAAGTGTTCCACCTCATTCACGGTATGCAAGTTGGGGCTTAGGATGCTGAATTCTTTGGGAGAGTGGACGCGACGAGTGGGTGCGCGCTGCTGGAAGGAAGAGCGCTGAGAGAAGCAGCGCTACGAAGAGGGAGAAGGCCCAGAGCTTCCACCTTAGCTATGGTGGAGCTTCCCCGGTAGAGGGAGGAGGAGGGGACCAAGGAGGAGAGTGGCGAGGTACTTGCCTGGTTATGGTGGACGCCATCTTCATCACCTTGTTAGGCGCTGCATCTGGAAGGCCCAGTGGGCGTTGCGCCGCACCAAGAAGGCTTCAAGGCAGAGTCAGGCATGGCGGCCTGAACAGCAGCAGACATAGCTGCTTTGCGTTGTCTTTTGCACAGCAGAGGAGGCGACAAGGAGGAGGACCTGCTTGGCGAGAGAAAGGGGGATTGTCATTGGTCTTTTGCTGGTGTACATCTTCTTCTTCTTTCTTTCTTCATTCACTTCTTTTGCAATTGGACGGCATTGTGCTTTCTTGTGAATTTTGCACTTCGAAATTGGCCCGCATCGTAAGTTTGTCCCACAATGGAGAATGACATCGGACAACCCTCTGTCTCCTTCTCAAAGCAGTCATTGTGCTTTCTTGTGAATTTGCACTTCGAAATTGGCCCGCATCGTAAGTTTGTACCACAATGGAGAATGACACCAGACAACCCTCTGTCTCCTTCTCAAAGCACTATCACCATCCTTCAGAAGCGAAGTACTATCTCCTTCTCACAGCAACATCACCAGGTCAATCGAGGTAAACCCTCCCTCCCTCCCTCTCTCTCTCTCTCTCTCTCTCTCTCTCTCTCTCCTGTCTCTTATACACATCTAGATGTGTATAAGAGACAGCCATTTCGAGAGTGGTGTGGTGAGGCCCTTGGTG